TTCATTTTGATTTAACATTACCTGCATGATACAGATATTCATGTACTGGAAAAAAACTGTGTGTGTGGGCTATATGTCTTTTGTACCTTCTGTGTGCCAGGTATGATGCTAGTTGATGTATAGTTGAGAATAAAACAACCATGGTCTCTGCCTTCAACCAATTTATAATTTAGAATATAACCAACCTCCCATGTTCAAATCCACAATGGTATAATTACAATATGATAACTATTGTATTGAAGAAAGCAAAGAAAATATACCTAATTTATAAGATGGTTTAATAGTGGAACTACATTTAGCTTAGAAGCTGGGATATCCCTTCTTAAGTAAATGGTATTTAAGATTAGACATAAAAGTGGGAAATAAGGCCTTTTTAGGGTTAAATGAGACATAAAAGTGGGTCCCTAATTCTATACTATTCTTGCCTTTAAGAGACACAAGAGTATTCTTCCCTGCCCCCCACTGTATCCTCACACAGCAAGAAGGCAGCCATCGACAACTCAGAAAGAAGGCTTTTACCTAAAAATAAATCAGTCCAGCACTTTGATCTTTGACTTTCCAACTTCCAGAACTGTGAGAAATAAATTTATGTTGTTTGAGCTACCCAGTCTCTGGTATTTTGACATGGCATCCTGAGAAGACTAAAACAGTATGGTTGGGATAAAGAATATAAGTAGGTTTCTAAGTAGGTTTCTGTTAGTTATCAATGCTAATTGTGCTTCAGTTTTTTCTTATTTGAACTGTAAACATTTTACAGTTGACACTTGACAGAATAAACATTAGCACTCAAGAAGCAAATAGAGTAAAATGATTTATAGACATTTTAATTTTAAAATATAAAGTTATTTATTTTTTTAGCATGGAATCTTGACCTATCCATATCCTGAAAACTTTCTTGGTATTTTTCTTGCCTTAGAGTAAGCTTTGTAGTGCAGGGCGGAGTGGGAATGCCCACTGTGAAGACACTGATGTACCTAAGGTTAATTCTGTATGAGGAAGTTACTAAAAGTCTGTTCTGAAATGCTTTCCCATGGGAAGCAAATACTACTAGTTCTGTATTTGAAAAATTATTACATACATTACATGAAAATGGTTAAATTGTCATAGCATGCTTGGATCTTATCTTTTCATTAAAATATTCTTGAAATATGTTTTCATTGATTTTAGAGAGAGGAAAAGAAAGGGAGAGAGAAATATCCATGTGAGAGAGAAACATCCATCAGCTGCCTCCTACATGCCTCCTACTAGGGATCAAGCCTGCAACCCCGGGATGTGCCCTTACCAGGAATGGAACCAGCAACCTTTTGATGCATGGGACAAGATGCTCAACCAATTGAGTCTTTATTATCCTGTCTCAAACTCCAAGGATGGATTTTGATTCCTGTGTTTCTCTTGACAGTGTGAAATAGGTCACATGGATCACTTTTCCTGCGACCCTTCAAAGAATGAAATGTGAGCAGAGCTTGCAAAGCAACTTTCCCAGAGCCGTAGTTGTATGTGAAGGACAAGACACTTACATGTTCGAGTTAAATAATGTCTTTGGTTAGAGTTGTTCCAGTTATAAGATTCTGATTTATCCAACAAACATTTTCTCTCTAGCCTTACCCAGTTTGGAAGGTAGACTTTATTTTTAAAAATTTGGATGTGAATCAGTGTCTGCTCTATCTAAAAGGAGGAAATGTTCCAAACAGTTTGGAAAACTATAACATTAAAAACTTTAAGTTAGTTATCTCTGATTTTTATGTCACTCTTCCCGCAACCTCCCACTTCTCCGTGGTAAGGAATTTTTCTAGTTTGAAGGGAAAAACACACAATAACTATGAAAATATAAAATAAAGTGAGTCTCTCTGCTTAGTCTGCAACCTATCCCTTTCTCTTCACATCTGGAAATGTTCAGGTAGACACATGTTAAAACCTTTAACATGCACGTTTTATTCCTGTGTGTCTGTCTGTATCTTTCATGCCATATTGCAGCCATGCCTGTCTTCTGTTAGGATTGGGATGATCAAAACAAGAACAATAAAACTTTTAAATTAATGTAACACCATTCCTTTTCAGCATTCAACATGGGGCACTTATTGTGCCTTTTCTAAAAATAATCCACCGTAAGAAGCAATCAGTAATCAGAATTTAAGGGAGGAGTGAGGGCCTCAGGATGCTTGCTCCACATGCAAACATGATCTATAAGCTGTAGTTTACTTAAGAACAACACGATTCTATTGGATTCTAGGTCTCTAGGCATCACACTATGATTATAATTAGGTAGTTCCTGGCTTAGAGTAAGGTGGGGTAGCTGGGGCTCTGTTTGTTAGGGTTGGATCAACTTCTGGATATCAAACACCCAAAACAGGTATTCTTTTGTGAATCCTTCACCTGGATGGGATGTTTTTCTAATTTGCACTAAAAGTCCAGTATGTGCCAGAAGAACATTAGATAAACAGGTGGCCATTATACCTGCACATAGATTGAGGCTCAACACTAACCTATTTCTCCTAATTTTTCAGCAAAGCATTAACATTTTATTTTATATCTGAGATGTCTATTGAACTGTACTTGACTAGTTAAGTATGGGGTGATTTGATCAAAGGGAAACCTTTTTTTTTTTGCTTGTTTGCATTTATATGTATGTGTTTGTTTGTTTTTAGTGCTATACCTTTTCAAATTTGACAAATTAGTTGGCAAATAAAACACACTGGTGGGGTCCAGAAAAAGCTAAATGAGTATCTCACTAAATTGAGAAAGCAAAGGCTGAGAAATTATAGTGTGATTGACAGACACAACTGGGTTGGAGATAAGATAAAGGCTACTGCAGGAGCAAACTTCAGGAAACTAACTTTAGGGAGTACATTTGCTCTGGTTTTCCAACTAGAATACCAGAAGTGGGTATGGCCAAAGGACACAACAGGCTGAAGAAGTTAGTTTTGAAATTGGGACCAGGTCAAGATTTCTGGTCCAGAGAAGTACTAGTAAGTTGGTTATGGAGGAATCAATGGGCACAGTGGGTCTAAACAGATGACACACGAAGTCAGACAATAGGAATCAGAAACCTTTCCATTCTTCTCTCTCTAAAATTAATTTAAAAAATCAACATGAATTACTAACTTCCATTATTTGTTTAGATTGTCAAAAGTGAAGAGTTAATCTCTCTAATACTATTAGCCATTAATAATAGAGTGATTGTTTAGGTAAGTTCAAGCTCTAGGGAATTATGCAACTTACCAGAAAGCATTGATGACAATGGAGGAAATAAAATTAGATCATAAAGGCTGAGGTGATGGTTTGTGAACAAAATGATTAGGATAGGTGTTAACTGAACCACTCGGCTGTGACAATAGCAAAGTTGGACATCTGGCTAAAATTTGTGATTACTTGTATAGTGATAAGAGAAGTTGGTCAAAACCCCTAAACTGGGCGAAAAAATCAATTTGGTATCCTCTACATTTATTATTTGAGATAATTTTAGTAGGAAATGCTATTATAAAGGCATTTCTTTTGAGGGGGAGAGAACTGGCTCAAGTTGTGTGTCAGAAATAAAGTCTAAAAGGCTCTCTTTTCCTCCTATTTATGACTTGTGGTTTTTTGAGGTAGCCATTGTATTCTCTGCAAAGAATGACTATTTTTACTTAGTTCTATTTTAAACTCAGTGTGAGCATATGTCTGGGTGTTCATGGAAACACAGCATGGGATGTATTGGGGTAGCAGAAAATAAGCAAAGAGCTCAGGAATGCTCCTCTATGAACTGCAGAACAGATATTATTTTGAGTAGAAAATTATTTTAAATTACAACTCATTTCCAGAAAGTGATGTGCTTTATTTTCTTGACCAGACTGTAGTTATACATTATTTAAATAGTTAAAAGCTCTTAAAAGGAAGTGAGGTAGAGATTGAGAAAGATAGATGTTTTTATTGCCAATAAGGAGAATCATAGATAAGAGGTGAGACAAGAAAGTATCAGAAATGGAAGTGAAAGGAGGATAGCCAAGTTGCCGAGTTTGCCTTAGAACTGAGAGCCACCGACATGGTCTCTTCCTTTTAAGTTAAATGATCAGAACCATCTGTATGATAAATTTCAGTGTCCTTCAATTTTATCCTGTCTACCTGAATGAGGTAATTTAGCATAGCCTCTTGTTTTTATGGGTTACTCTCTGTTTAAATTTCATAATTTCTTGGGTGAAAGAGTAAGGAGAGACGAAAAAAATTATAAAGAAATATAACAAACTAGGGGCCCGGTGCACGAAATTCGTGCACTGGGTGTGGGGGAGGGGAGTGTCCCTCAGCCCAGCCTGCCCCCTCTCACATACTGGGAGCCCTCAGGCGTTGACCCCCATCACACTCTCAGGGCCAGTGGGGGGACACCGCCCCAATGCGGACCAAGTCCCAGGGCTGCTCCCCAGGTGTGTCTGGCGATTGATTGGCTGTGGTCTCTGGCGTCACGGGCGCCCAGGAGACCACGTGAGAGGTGTCTGAGCTGGTGCAAGACTGCTTGGTGCCGCAAAGCACTGTGGGAAGGAAAAGAAACGTAGACATTTCGGAGACAGGAAGGACTTGGGGATTTTATCTTTCTTTATGCAAGTTCAAACAGATTCACGATCGCCGAAATAAAACCAAATAAATACGGGCTCCAGGTCAGGATTCCCAAGCACAGATCTCAGGTCTCCCGCTCTCCCCGCGTCCTGCAGGGAAGCGGGTCACCCCTGCAAGGGTTCCCGCGGTGCCATCTCCCCAAGGGCGGCGGGAAGAAGCCGCCCGAGTCGCAGTCACCACCCCCAGGCTGGCTCCCGGGAAAGCAGGGTCCAGACTGGGGAGGGAGACCCCGTCCTGTTTGCCAGCAGCTCTCCAGCCGAGGGTGCGGGCTCCTTCCTGGCAGGCGGTCTTCTTCACCCGGTGGCCCACGTGGGGGAGTTTTGAGGAAAACAAACGGGATCAGTCCTGGGTGAAGGGTCCGCGGCGAGAGACAGAGGGGCTGCGGCGCCCACAGTCCTGGGCCCCAGGCATGTGCACTAGGGGAACAGGACGTTTCTGGGCTTGATGTTGGGCCTTTGGCCCTTGGCGCGCAACCTGCGCACGGCCTCCCGGAGATGCTTG